GAGGTAATCCCAAAACCCTAACTCCCATTCATTCCATATCCTTTTGATCACTGCTGATGCTCTGATAGCAGCTATCATCACCTCTCTCATATACTGACTTGAGCGTCGGAGGCTCTACGCTGGAAACCCCTCCGGCGTTGAGTTCTTGCAGGTGTTCTTGCGGCTCACAACAACGGTTCGATCGCCATCACATCAGATCTAAGCTCATCCGTACCGGTTCGTCCCAGATCCAGACGTTTTCTCATTAGACCGTTCCAGATCTGAGAAGAAACCCATCAGATACCTTTCATGAGCGTACCAAGCATATTGAAATTGACTGTCACTTCATTCGACAGCATGTTGCACATGGGACTGTGAAGCTTGTTTCCGTCTCCTCTGAAGATCAACCAGCGGATGTCTTCACGAAGTCTCTCCTTCCCGGTCGCTTTTGTTTACTTCTTAGCAAACTCAAGTTGATCTCCACTATACCACCTTGAGTTTGAGGGGGGCGTTAGTTATGTTAAATGTTTTCTTGTACAATAAGTTAGGTTTAGGTCAACTTAGGCGGCTAAGGCCCTTCTATGTATCTATATATATGTGTATATGTCTTTGTGAATAATATATCAGATATTTTTCCCACTTTTTCACACCGAAGATTATATTAAGCTTTTCACCTCGTCTGTTAATAATCTAACTTTTTTCTTTTTGAAAACTACGAAGGTTATTCGAATGGATCTCATAATTGTCGCATATCAGTCGCATAATTGCCGCATATTCACATTAAAAAGTGTGAAGGCCGGTTATGAAAATGTCATTGCAGTTTTAGCTTTCGCACAATATCATTTGCAATTATCGCATAATTACCGTATATCGCTTTCGCACTTCCTTAGGGTAAAAAATTTAACTTGTAATCTAGTTGTGTGAATAACTTTTATTCATTCTTCAGAACGAGATATAAATAATTATTTTCTTAATACTTTCAGTACATGAGATCAAAGGGGGCTTAATATTTATTAGTTTATTAAGCTAATGAAAGCTTAAAATTAATAATTAGTGTATTAATAAACACTCAATAACTGTGAGAAATTATAGCACATTTCATTTCATCTCAACAGTTGGTCTTGCATATTATAAGACTCGACGACCAGATTTCATAAAATAACCATTGGTGACCCGTTGGTCCCGTGTGCAATTCAGCTCGAAACTGACTGTTTTATTTTTTAATTTGGATTTTCAAATTCAAGTAGATGGGTCGGGCAAAAAAACCCTATTGAACTCGGACTTGTTGGCTCAACATTTTTATTTTTATTTTTATTGCCTCAACTCGGAACAGACCTGTATTTTTATTTTTATTTTTATTGCCTCAACTCGGAACAGACCTGTGTATGTAGCCCTGAGCTCATGTCAATGGGCTTAGACTGCCAGCCAATTGCCCAAAACTTGGCTGATTTTTTCTTAGGTGGCTTGAAAAATCGGGCTGCATTACTGAACATGCCAAGTGTTCTTGAATATGCCAATTGTTGTCTAGTAAAGATTCTGAGAACTTCTTTTTCCGCATCAATCACTTATAATTCGGGGTGGAGACTAGTTCGGGTGAGTTGATCGGATCAGGTAGCAAAGGACTTAGTCAAACTCGACTACCCGGGCGACCTGGATGTTGACTCGGCCAGGTCAACTCGGTCTGACCCAACCACTAAATATTTTTTTACCTTTTCTATCAAAAATAAAATTTATGTACACACACACACACATATATATATAT